TATTAGGAATAATATTTATGACATGTACAATCATTTGTAATAATGCATGTTTGTCATAAGAATTCGAATTAGAAATAGGATCGTCTTATGGTAACCATAGGTTTATTATATCTGAATAGTAAATAAAAGTGAAATTATCGATGGCCACAATTGCATGCATTGAGTTAATTATCACTGGTTAATAATTAGAATTAAGAATTTATCGGTGGAGTTGGAAATCTAATATGCTCTTCCACATTTTATTTTAAACCAATTTTTATTGACGAGTCTTATTATAAAAAATAGTTAGGTACAAATCAATCATCTTTTGTCCAATCATGAATTTAAATATATCAAATAAACTAGAATTGAGCCTTATTCTGTGTAGGGACGATAACTTTCTCATCGTGATCATTATTTGTACGACGAACCCGTACGCTTATGGAATTTTGAAGAACAGGCAACACATTCATTTTTGGTGTTTAAATGACTTTAGTAATCATAGTATTTAAATTGTATATGTAATATTCTAGATGTAGGGAAACAATATTAATCAATTGTTTTAGAGATTTGAATTCATCCTCAAAACTTATTGTAATATTAGATGGAAGTTTAATCGTACAACATGAGTGTTCTTTCTTTGTACCATTTTTGATACTAAGTAAATATGTAATAAACAATGGATCTAATTGACTTCTCATAGTTTTAACTAATGGTAGATGAGTGAAAGAAGGCCACAAATATGAAAAAACAAAACTTGCTTTCAGTATGTCTTCCTTTTTTCCTTATTGTGCAATTGGTAAAACTTGACGAAAATGTCCTCCTAATACAATTAATTTTCCACCAAATGGTATATCTTGTTCATTAACATCCTAAACATTTTATTTAAAGCTTCGACAGTGAAACAATTACCATTGGCATCTCATCCCATATGATCAATTTAGTTATTCTGAAAAGATATGCTAATGCAGACTATTCACTAATTGAACAAATATTATTTTCACATATTTCTAGAGAAATTTTAAACCTTGAATGTGCTGTTCTACCACTTGAAACTAAGGAAGTAGAGACTCGTGAAGAAGCTGAAGCTATAGAAATTAGATTTCTTGATCTTAAAGTTGCCAAAAAAGCTTTATACAATTATATTTTGCATGTTCCATCATGTCCATCAACAAAAAGTATGATACTTATACTTTTTTGACCTAAAACATGATGTAAAATTGTATTATAAGCATGCTGTTGTTCTTTGTTTTTATTTTGATTATTACTATTTCTCATTTCTTCAACCATCATGGTAGCCAATTTATCATCTTCTTCCATGCCCATTTTAAATGAAACCAATTCGTAATCATTTATATTTTTGTTTAATAATTCTAATATATAATTAATACATTTTAATACTTTTATTTCAACAACAATTAATGACATACCTTGGTGTATAAAATCTTCAAACATATTTTTAAATTTGTCCAATAAAGAACGTGGATTATTAGGACTACACAAGGTCAATATGGTAGTAGATAACCTATGCAATGAAAGGGACAATTGATAAACAATTGGTTTTGCTAAACATAACACATAATTATTATTTTCACTTAATAAACCATGCAAAAGAGACACTTCTCCAAATGTAGATGATAATACACCATTCACTATTCTAATGTGATTTAGCTAAAAATGTAAGTAATACCTTTTACTTTTCAATTGGAAGTGCGCTAAATATTCTACCATTACATTTTATATTTTATATTTTTTGCTTTCTAGGAGTCCATATTCATTCATTTGCATCTCACATGAAATAAGAAGGAAATTCACTACACAAAAGAGTTCCAGATTTTCTTTTGTAATATTTGCGTGAAAGAATTCAATTAACATTGTTCTTCGTGTGTGATCTCTGCTAATAACTAATCGTATATTTAATAGTTCTTTAAAGAAATTATAGCCTAATTTATTTTATATTTCATTTATTAGGTAAAACTCAATGGTTAGAAGTTAAATGGAAAGAAATATGCGAAAAATACCGAAGTACAAAGTTGATGACCAAATTTTAAATATCCAATGGTTGAACATGACTATAAGAGATATTTTAAAGATTGATGGGAGTCAATTAGATGTAATTAGAAGTCAAAAAGGAATATGATATCATTAAAATATTACTATAAATCGACTTCCAATCACATGATATATCTTCCAAATTTTTAGTCAAGGATTACGACCAATTTTTGACATAGTAAACGTCCAAATCGGAAAATATCTATCTCTAGAAAAATTGTAGCCCTTTTAGTTAGCCTTCCAATATATCTTGAATCAACTCAATCGGATATCGGGAGAAAATGTTATAATCAAAATACTGATTACTGTGCAAAGACCAAAAAATTCGCGCGCAAGTGTAACTTTCCTTATTCGATTGGAACACTTTTGAAAACCAATTGGGGGTGATTTTTCACCAATTTTCGACCCCTACAGATACCCAACAAGAGAATACATGAAGGGAGTTCTCATATATATCTCTTATATATAATATACTCTAATATTTATCAATTATCATCATCAAAGGAGGAGAATTCATAGTTTTTGTGAGAGAAATGAAGGGGACTTGCAAAAATTCAATCAAATGAAGATTCAAATTTGGTATTAGACAAAAAAGAGAGAGCGCAAGTGAGATTCATTAAGAAACCATTGAAGAGATTTGAGATTTCAAGATTTATCTTCATCTTCTCAGTTTATCAAAAATCCGAGTTATGTCTTTCCACTTATATATGACTTCTTGTAATTTCAATATGTTAGGCTAGACTTATACATTGTTAGGATGAGATGAACCCTTGTTATGATATTTTTAGCTTTTAATTAATTATTTTGACTTTAGTTTGATTTTATTTGTTGATGTTTATTATCTTTTAATCGTTCTTTTTAATTGTTTGATCAACAATTGAATTGTTAGTGGATTTTATTGTTATCGAGAGAGACAATAGGATTTTAGCACAATATAATAAACATTGTAAGGTTCGATAGAGGATAGAGATATACCTCTATGCTTTATATGGTTTCAATAGGTGTTCTAGCACTTATTAATGCATTTATCATGTTTGTATCTTTCATCGAGAAATATGAGAATCCCATGAGGAGAATAGATTTGATCGTTATCGAGAGAGGTTTTCAATTAAATTAGAAACTTTGACCAACATGAATGATTTCAAATTGTCAATTTAATTTTTACACTAAAAAATGGAATAATATGGGGGATTCTACATCTTAACAATATTTCTTACGAATTTGATAAATTTTCTTTCCATTGCTTTCTATTTAGTTGATAGATTTTATATTGTCTAGTCACATATTGATTTTGCTATTCGATTAAGGGGAGAGTTAGCTTAAACTTGATCAAAGACATAGTTTTCGTGTGTTCGACACTTTACACATATCTTTATTACTTGTTCACGATCTCGTTCACTTGCGGGTAATCAAACGATCAAGTTTTTGGCGCCGTTGCTGGGGACTATAATTTTTGATAAGTTTTAACTAATTTACTTCTAATCTTAATTTAATTTTAATTTAATTTTTAATTTTTTGTTAGTTAATTAATTTAGAAAAATATTACAGTGTTTTCTATTTTTCCTTTTCATGACTTTATATGCAAAGTTCGAGAACCGAAGATCTTGCTCAATTTGATCTGGAAATCGAGCGAACGTTCAGGTATAGAAGAAGAGAACAATTAGAAGCACGCCAAAAATAGCAAGCAAAGCTCATGGCAAAACAAAATTCGAGTCAAATAGCCATCGAGGCTAATCTGGGTGTAGTGCAACCAAATGAAGTTGCAACCAATGAAAACGTTAGGTTGATGGGAGAGTATATGGTTCCATCGGTCGTGGAGAGCCAATCCACTATAGTATATCCGACATTTGGTCAACCAAATTTTCACTTGAGGATAGATGTGATCAACATGTTCCAAAATGCACTGTAATTTTTTGGAAAACCTACTGAAAATCCCAATTCTCATATCTCAAGATTCTTGGATATGTGTGCAACAATCGATTATCTAGGTGTTTCGAGCGAAGCAATTCAACTGAAGGCTTTTTCCTTATACTTTAAGAGATTCAGCTAGGGAATGGTTGGATACTTTTCCTTCACACAGCATCACTAGTTGAAATAGTTTGAGTCAGAAGTTCCTGAACAAATATTTCCGACCTAAAAGGATTGCCAAGCTGAGGGATGAAATCACCACGTTCTCTCAACTTGACTCAGAGTGCTATTATGAAGCTTGGGAAAGGTACTAGGGGCTGCTCCTCAGTGTCCACAGCATGGATTGCAAAAATGGCTCCAAGTACAATATTTCTACATTGGGCTAAATCTAACAAGCATGGCTAATGTTGACTCCGCATGCGATAGTCCCATTACAAAGAAAATAGCGGACCAAGTATATTAAATCATGGAGGATTTAGCATTTGCTAGTGCACTGTGGCCTATGGAAAGAACAAGAGTAAAGAAAGTAGCTGGGATACATGAAGTGGATCCATTAACAGCAATCTCATCATAGCTGGCAGCTTTAGCTAAAAAGGTGGATCTAATGAATGCCATTCAAACAGTCAGATAAAAATGCAGGCACTATGGAGGAAATCATGAAAGTGTTGATTGCACCGTTGGTAGTCCTTTTGCTCAATCACTAGAGGATGTAAATTATGCTCAAAATTTTCAAAGACAGGAACACAATCAGATACTATCCAGGCTGGAGAAATCACCCAAGTTTTCAATGGAGCAACAATCAGGGGGCTCAGATCGTGCTACAGCAGATTGCACCGCCAGGTTTTTAGCAGGCTGAAAATAAGTCTTCATTGGAAGATCTTGTTACTAAATTGGCGGAGATCTCTACTCAACACATGCAAAGAACAAATAAGACTTTACAAGTTCAGGGAGCTGCTATCAAGAATTTAGAAAATCAGATAGGACAAATAGCAAAAGCACTTTCAGAAAGACAATAAGGAACACTACCAAGCGACACGGAAACAAATCCTAAACAGCAGGTAATGGCAGTAAAAGTTATGAAGAGTGAGGAGATTGAGGCAATCACTACACGCAGCGGGGTTAAACTTCCAGATATTACAATTGAGAGACAGGTGATAGAAAATAAAAAGGCGCCTTTTAAAGATGAGGAACAGGTGGATAAATCTGAACAACTAGATAAAGTAATTATATCTCAAGAGCTAGAAAATCTACAAGTGAAGACAACCGCTATGTGCCTCCGATCCCATTTCTACAGAGATTGCAAAAAAGGAAGTTGGAAGAATAGCTTGCAAATTTCTTGGACATCTTCAGGAAGCTTCATGTCAACATCCCACTGATTGAAGCTATATCTCAAATATCGAACTATGCAAAGTTTTTGAAGGAGATCCTATCAAAAAAGAGAAGACATACAGATTTTGAGACCATCAAGTTAAATGAAGAGTATAGTGCCATCTTGCAAAACAAATTACCTCCTAAGCTACAAGATCCAAGGAGTCTCAAAATACCTTGCTCAATAGGGAATGATTCGAATTTTAATTGTTTATGTGACTCAAGCGCAAGTATAAACCTAATGCCTTTTCTATATATAGAAAATTAGGATTGGAAGAGCTAAAGAACACGTCCATCTCTCTTTAATTGGCAAACAAATCAATTAAATACCCGCGAGGAGTGGTTCAGAATGTACTTATTAAAGTGGGCAACTTCATATTTCCCATTGATTTTGTTGTTCTAGATATAGAGGAGCCATGAGATGCAGCGTTACTTAACTTGGGCAAATCCTTCCAATCAACAAGTCGAGCTGTTATGGACTTTGAAAGTGGCAAACTAACATTGAGAGTGGAAGATAAACAAGAGAAGTTTAAGATCTACAAAAATATCAAAAATCCATTACAAGAAGAGATCAGCAAAAAGGCTAAGGAAGAGTGCAAGTTTATTGCTGTAAATATACAACAAGACTCGAAGGAGACAGGGCTTAAGCATATAGTGAGCCTTGGATGAAAGAATAATGGAGGATTCAAGGTTTGGACGGCAAAACAAGGATGTAAGGCCAAAAATTGAAAGGAGTGCAATACTTCTAAACACCTATTTAAACCACCATAATCAAGTCGTCCGTACAGTCTAGCTAAAGACTATAAATTAAACGCTTATTAGGAGGCAACTCAATCTTCTAACCCTTTTATTTATTTTGCTTTATGCATCACATAGCATATAGATTTGTTTTGGTTACTAGGTTGCATTAGATTTAGGCACGTTTTAATTTGTAGGGTATCACCATCCTTAATACTCCACTTAGGCCATTGAAATTATTGTTGGTATTTTGATTGTTTAGGTTAAGTAACACATGTTCTAGGTTATTTGATTTTTAATGTTTGATTTAACTACTATGTCCGGAACATGACGTCGTGGAATACTCAAACCAACATAGACCAAATGAAAAATATGATGACAGAGATTGTCGAGCAGTCATCCATAGTGCCTCACATATTCAATAGAAAACTTTGGGGAGTATTTTCTTCCTTTTCTTCCCCATTCCTTTATACTCTTACTTTTGTTTTATGACATTGAGGACAATGTCGAATTCAAGTTTGGGGGTGAAAAAATATTGAGTTTTTTGGTTTTCGTATGCTTGTGTGTTTTGGTGCGTTTGTTTAGTATTACTTAAAAAACAAAAACAACAAAATTTTTTATTAGGTTGTGTGCTTGTATGGGTTCGATAGCCTGGCCGGCAATGATGATCTAAATTGAGATTTAGTGTTAATTTATGAACTATAGATATTTTGCATGCTAGATTAATATAAGTTTAACCTTGTAAAACTTGATATTATACGTGCACTAGAATTGAGTTTGACATTATGATGAAATAAGTTGTTTTATGCTCTTAATAGGTTGATTTAGTTGGACATAGATACTTTATCCAAATTATACTAAACTAATTATCCTTAGACCAAATTTAGCACAGTTTGGGGGTGATTTTACTATTGTAGAAAGATACGAATGTGGCAAGAGATTCTTTCTGTAAAAAAAATTGTGTGGATTGTCTGAGATGAATATGATAAAATTGGGTGAAAGTCTTGAGTTGGAGGTCAGTCTTCTTGAATAGGTGTATGATAAGGGGTATTGCACTAATCAAAGCATATATTTTAAAATTTAAAACTTCTCTTCGAAGCATTTATGACTCGAGCAATTAAGCCTACAAGGGTATCTTAAAACCTGATGCCATAAATTCATCTGACTTGGCATCGGTCCAAATGTCGCTACAGAGGTCATCTAAAAAGTAATCAAAGATGATTTTGCCCTTAAAAGAAAAAAATAATTGTTCTCTTCGAAGCCTTTATGACTCGAGTTATTAACATTGTAAGTGTGTTTAAAAACATGGTGTCCTAAATTTGTTTGGATTGAGAGTCATCGGCCTAAAGTCTGCTACATAGGTCATCTAAAAAGTTTAAGGGGAGTGCAAAAAAAAAAAAAAAATATAATAATAATAATAATAATAATAATAATAATAATAATAATAATAATAATAATAATTGCACTAAATGCCTTGCTAAGTCTAACACTTGTTCGATGTAATTTGACTTTTGATGAAGCAATCAAATAATTGGAGAATCCTTTTTCATTGATGTGTTAACTTGCAACTAGTGACGTCCACCTAAATTGGAGAGGATGAGGATAGTAATGAAAAACTCAACCTTATATACACGTTGGGAAAAGAGTGAAAAAGAATAAGTTTGGGGTTGTGTGAATCTTACGAGAGATAAAAATGATATATTTAACCACAGAAGGAGGGAATTGAAACAATATTGTATTCATGATTGATTACTTAATTCTTCACACATATGTCAATTTTGCATTGGTAAAGTGGACATTAATTTTAGTATTGCAACCTAGAAGCTGTTCATAGATTTAATATTATAATTCATATCCCGATGTAAAAAGCTAGACTATCCAACCAAAATATTTTGCATGTTTGTGTGTTTGTTAAGTTAGGATATGGTTTTGATTGAAGACAAATAAATGTTTAAGTTTGGAGATATTTGATAAGTGTATTTTATACACTTATGTATACCTAAAAATATAAACATTTAATAGTTTTTTAAAGTAATTATAGCCTAATTTATTGTATATTTCATTTATTAGGTAAAATTCGATGGTTGAAAATTAAATTGAAAGAAATAAGCGAAAAATGGCGAAGTACAAAGTTGAGGACCAAATTGTAAATATCCAATGGTTGAATTGGACCATAAGAGATATTTTAAAGATTGATGGGAGTCAAATGGATGCAATTAGAAGTCAAAAATGAATGAAATATCATCAGAATATTACCATAAATCGACTTCGAATCACATGATATAACTTCCAGATTTTTAGCCAAGGATTGTGACTAATTTTTGGCATAGGAAATGTTTGAATCGGAAAATATCTATATCTAGGAAAATTGTAGCCCTTTTAGTTATCTTTTCAACATATTTTGAATCAACTCAATTGGATATCGCTAGAAAATGTTATGATTAGAATACTGAATACTGTGCAGAGACAAAAAATTATGCATGCGAGTGTAACTTTCCTTATTCGGTTGGAACTCTTTTGGAAACCAATTTGGACATTATTTTTCACCAATTTTTGACCCCTACAGATACCCAATAGGAGAATACATGAAGGGGGCTCTCATACATATCTCTTATACATAATATACTCCAATATTCATCAATTATCATTATTAAAGGAGAAGAATTCATTGTTTTTGCGAGAGAATTGAAGGGACTTGAAAGAATTCAATCAAATGAAGTTTTAAACTTGGTATTGGACAAAAAAGAGAGAGCGCAAGTAGAGATTCATTAAGAAACCATTGAAGAGATTCGAGATTTCAAGATTTATCTTCATCTTCTCAATTTATCAAAAATCCGAGTTATGCCTTTCCACTTATATATGATTTCTTGTAATTTCAATATGTTATGCTAGACTTATACATTATTAGGATGAGACGAACCCTTGTTATAATATAACTCAGGAAGTGCCCTAATTACCTTTGACTACCAAGGAATGAGAGAGAGGTAAAAGCGGGTTTGGCTCCACTTTCGAAGTGGAATGTTTTAGCTTTTAATTAATTATTTTGACTTTAGTTTGATTTTATTTGTGGATGTTTATTATCTTTTTTATCGTTCTTTTTAATTGTTTGATCACCAATTGAATTGTTAGTGAATTTTATTGTTATCGAGAGAGACAATAGGATTTTAGCACAATATAATAAACATAATATAATAAACATTGTAAGATTCGATAGAGGATAGAGATATACATCTATACTTTATATGGTTTCAACATGTGTTCTAGCACTTATTAATGCATTTATCATGTTTGTATATTTCATCGAGAGATAAAAGGATCCCATGAAGGGAATATATTTGATCGTTATCAAGAAGGGCTTCCAATTAAATTAGGAACATTGACCAACATGAATGATTTCAAATTGTCAATTTAATTTTTACACTAAAAATGGAATAATAAGGGGGATTCTACATCTTAGCAATATTTCTTACGAATTTGATAAGTTTTCTTTCCATTGCTTTCTATTTAGTTGATATATTTTATATTATCTAGTCACAAATTCATTTTGCTATTCGATTAAGGGTAGGGTTAGCTTAAACTTCATCAAACACATAGTCCTCGTGGGTTCGACACTCTACACACCACTTTATTACTTATTCACGATCTCGTTCACTTGCGGGTAATCAAACGATCATCGATTTCATGACCGGCCTCATCTGCGAATAGAGCTTGGATAATGACATCATTTCCAATTCCCATTACTTCGTCCATATCTGATGAAGGTATTCTCATATTGCCACCCTGATTTGTTTCATTATGAAAGAAAATAATGAGTATTTTGATATTAGTCTTCATTTAAAATTACAAATTCGGATATCCAGATTGAACCAAATTTAACTATTACCTGACCAACACATGTCTTTCTTCATTCAAACACATTTGACAATCTGATCAACTTGAATTGAAATCTTCATCCATAAATTGTATCTCGCCTGAAATGTCTATTTCGACTGGTGATATCAGTGTTTTCTTCACAGAATCAACTATGTTGATGATTTTTTTTTATCACCGATGAATATTCCCGAATTGCCAATTTCGAATTTTGAAACATTTGAGTCTTTTCTTTTGGTGTTAATTTCATGATGGTAAAAACCTTAAAAGTGGACATGATGATCATGTTGGTTAGTGATGTAACGAACATAACATGGCATTCTATAATCATTTGTTGTATATGAAAGAACAATTAATGATAGCTATCTTTTTATTTAGAGATGTTGCTCCCATCCTTGAGTTGTTGGGATTGACTGTATTGTCAATCTCCTGGTTGTCACTAGTTTTTTTGCCGACCTCATCGGTCAAATTAGAGTGTTGAACTTCGTGTCGATATTATTGATGTTATTTTGGGAATCAGTTATCTGAATTTGATTAGAATAAATTTGCTCAACTCAAGAAATTAGGTCATCGATCACTGTATAATGTAGGACTGCACAAAAAGAAAGTGTCGGCGCGAATTAAACACTTGTGTAACATTTATAAAAATTTCATATTGAAATGTAAAAATAAATCAAACCCTTCTCGTTCTTCATGCTTTTGGATTTGGCCTATTCGTGCATGGAACAAAGAATTTATTCAACGGGGACGCATTGTTGAATATTTTTAATTTATCTGCGTGTAATTTCTTGCGAACATTTTTTCAAATAGACATTTTGGTAATGGTGTGCATTTCTTTTCAAGTAAACCAACATTGTATGCACAACATTTTTTATATCCATTGGGCTGCATCTCCTTGACTTCAACCTAATTAGACAAGATGAATATGATCAAATAACAAATTTAAATAACGCAGCTTTCTGATTTTGTTTTATATATATTTTCATTATCACTAGACTATGACGTGTCACTTCTTATTATAATTTATGAAAAACATAATTTATTAGGGTAAGCATTACCTC